CTTGTGCTGGGCTAGGTGCCCGTGTGTAGTGATTCCCCCTTCGGGTGATCCCACATCTGTATTCTTCCACGGTACGGCTCCCCTCACGATAAGCCTGTGTCTTTCCCTGGCAGTCGTTCGCTGCCATCTCTGCTGCGTAGTTATCTCACCCCAGGCGGGTTGAGTCTACCGCATGGACTTCCATATGTAGCACTGCCCTGGGCCAGTCCATATGTGTAATTCAACATGATACCTCCTATGCGCGGGATGTGGCTTCCGTAGCGTTCCCAACTGGGTACGCTTTCCCAGTGTTATCCAATGTACCACTGTATGGAACAGCAGTGGCGGACACCTTTGCCTAGCCGCTTTCCTATCTTCCGCCCCAGCTGGTGTGGGGGGACTTGCCGGCTTCCACAGGGCACTGGAGGGGGTCAGCAATAGTGGCGTTTTCCACACGGATCCCAATTCGTCAGTCACGACTGACGTAACGTAGAACGTGACTGACTGAAAGGGAACGAGGGTTATACAAGTAACCGAGACGTTTTTGTCCTAACCCCAAGTTTCTATTTTAGAAACGGTTTCTATTTCAGTGACGTCGCGGCTGGAACAACAACATGCAAACTATGACATTGATAATCTCAGGTACTGATTATGTGCTTTATTCAGTGTTAAATGTCTATAATGTGAGTTTGAGTATCATGTTGCGTGACATTCATAGCCACACTGAAAGCAACAACAGATACCTCAGATCTTGAAAATAAGTTAAAGTGAACATGTACGTTAAAACTGCAAACTCAATGCGAGCCAATAAGTGACAAAGATGGTATCAGTCACTCAGTATGTACTGAGTATAATGTTAAAAATGTTTAATATCTATGAATTAGTCGTGTTGTCATGTCGCGTCTGCTGTGGACAGACAAATAGCTTGTTGCTAGAATCCTGTCAAATTAACACTCATTTCTGTGGTTTCGATGGCTATCCTGTGAAGGATCTGTCTTGACTTCTGACCATTTTCCTTTTCTGCTTATGTTTTGGTTATTATTTTAGAAGTAATTCATCTCAACACATGAAATCATTTTGCACTTGTAACTCAAGATCTAAATATTTAGGCTCTTTGGCTCACGTTCCTAGTTTTATGACTTTAAGGCGCTAGAATATAAAAGCAGAGACAAGAGTATGAGTGACCTCCATGGACCAAACGTGATGACTGGATTAATGTGCTATTGTTATTTCCAGTCATCTACTGTATTCAATACTAAGACGATACTGTGATTTATTTATCCACTATAAAGGTTATGTTTAAATGAAGACTGGAATCATAAAATAATATAAAAAAAAAATCTGGCATTTTGTCAAAGGTTCTTTTCTTACTAGCATTTCAAACCAAGAACAATAACTATATTGGCGTCCACAGTTTTGTCTCCTGCCGCTTTAAATGCTTGATGGATTCTGATTCTGTTTGGTTTTTAATCATTCAACAGCTGAGAAAAAATAATTCTGAAAGCGATTCCGATGATATTTTTCTTATGTGTCATTATTGTTATAGCTGTGGACTTTGCATCACTCATATAATTAGAGTGATTATTAAAACTTTATAGTGATAGATATCGTCCATGGTCTGAACGGGGCTTTACTAAAGAGTATAAAGTCATTAAAGGGTTAGTTCACCCAAAAATGAAAATTAGTCAAATTACTCACCCTCAACTCATTCTAGATGTATGTGACGTTCTTCTTTATATTAAAAATTGTCTTTGATCTCTGTTTTATGGCACTCAGCGGGTGTTGCATGCATCAGTCCAAAAGAAGTTAAATAAAAAGCGCCCATCCATAAAAAAAGTGTCTCACACGGCTCCGGGGGGTGAACAAAGGCCTCCTGTAGCGAATCGATGCGTTTTTGTAAGAAAAATATCCATATTCAAAACGTAATAATCACTTTAATCTAGCTTGCGCCAGCAGTTGTATATGGAAGCAGCTCCGGGGCGGATGACGCATGAGGTCAGCGCTGTCCATGCGCCGGTGAGTCTCGTCAAAAACCAATGTTTGTTAACAAAGGAAGCAAAGTTTCCTTACTTTAGCAAAGGAAAACCAGTCTCCTCTTGGCTTATATCGAAATCCTCCGACATTCGTCTTTACAAATCCTCGTTTTGTACTTCTAATAAGTGACCGTTGTTTTGTTTTGATCTTTCCGCGTGCGTCACTTCTGAGCGACGCATGCGCAAAGCCAACCTCATACGTCATTACCCCGGAACTGCTTCCGTTTACAACAGT